TTTCTGCCCTGTTCTAGTTATTCATTGACTATGTAGGTAAGGCTGCAACCATAACTAAGCTTTATGTCCAAATAAATAACAAAACCGGAATTGAGGGGAAGGAGAATTAATGAAAACAACAGTTACACATCACTCAGCCTGGTACCTGGCACATGCTAAATTCTCAGTAAATGTTAGCAAGTATTGTTGCCCCAGTGTCTACTCTTTTAGAACTTTCTTTTGGGAGGAATATTAATGATCCATTATTTTTTGCCTGTGACATATGAAGTTATTGACTTACCGCTGCTGGGCATGGCACGTTGAGCCCTGTTTCTGTTTATTAATGTGATGAGGTTACTTGTGGTGAGGGTAGGTCCCCGCTGTGCAGTGGCAGTAATTATCAGTGTTGCTGTGTGGCTGTAGGAACCGGTTGCTAGCAAATGCCGGTTTCTTTTTTTTTTTCTTTTTCTTGAGAAAAAGAATCCCATTACATAATTTAACAATCATTTTGTTCCATAGTGAGATGAAAAGAATTTAGCAGCCTTCAGCTGGAGCTGAATGGAGAAGCAAATTATAGAAATCACTGACATTAGCGCCTGGCTAGAGCAGGATTGTTTCCTACTGAATATTTGAAAGTATTTGGTTCAATCTAATTTTAAAAGACTGGAGTCACTGGGCTTCCACTGCTTTCCTTGGGAACTGTAATTACGTGGCCTAATAGAGCTCAGTGCTGGGACATTTTCTCCAGTTGATGCAGGAGCCATGGATTCATTCGTGGGAGGTCCGGTCACTCTGTGTTTTTCAAAATGGGATTTGGAAGAGGAACAAACTTGTTTGGCTCACTTGAGAAAATACTCTTTTCTTTCTATCCAAGGACTCTTTATGGGTCCACCCTGCTGCCATTGAACCTCAGTGTGCTATATAATGGGATTTTTAAAAACTGTGGAGAATCCTTAAAATACACAAAGGTATTCACCACAGTATAATGAACATACATATGTCCCAAACTAGCCCCAACAACTATTAATCAGTGACCAATCTTGTCCCATCTACTTCCTCTCTTCTGCTATTATTTTGAAACAAGTATTTTCATCATATCTCTTTAAAAAATTCTGGTAAAATCCATATAGCGTAAAATTTACCATTTTAACCATCTTAAAACATGTGATCAGTAGCATTAAATACACAATGTCATGCAACCGGTCACCTCTATTTAGTTCCAGAGTTCTTGTCACCCCCAAGAAAACTGTACGCCTTAAATGGACACTCTCATTCTTCCCTCCCCTCTAGTACCTCTCAACCAACCACTAATCTGCTTTCTGTCTCTATAGATTTGCCTGTTTTAGATATTTCATATGAATGGATTTGTGTAATAAGTAGCCTGTATTTGTCTGGCTTTGTTCAATTAGCATAATGTTTTCAAGATTCATCCATACTGTGTCATGCATCAGAACGCCATTTGTTCCTTATCTGAATAATGTTCTATTGTATGGATATACCACATTTTGTTGGCTCATCTGATGATGTACATTTTTGTTATTTCCACCTTTTGTCTGTTGTGAACAGTGCTGCTTTGAACATTCAGATGAAAGCTTTTGTTTGAACACTAAGTTCTTTTGGGTACATATCTAAAAGTGGAATTGCTAGGTCATATGGTAATTCTATTTTTAACGTATTAAGGAACCATCAAACTATGCACTATGGCTGCGCCATTTTAAATTTTCTCCACATCCTTGCCATCACTTGTTATATTCTTTTAAAAAATAAAATAATAAAGTACGACCCAACCTAGTGGGTGTAAAGTGGTTTCTCATAGTTCTAATTTGCATTTTCCTAATGACTATCAACATTGAGCATCTTTTCATGTGATTGTTAGTCATTTGTATATCTTTTTTGCAAAAATGTCTATTCAGTTTTTTGCCCATTTAAAAATTGTGTTGTTTATGTTTTTGTTGTTGAGTTGTAAGTTTCTGTACATATCTGGACACAAGACCTTATTAGATATGATTTGCAAATATATTTTTCATTCTGTGGGTTATCTTTTTACTCTTTTAATAGTGTCCTTTGATGTACAATGTTCTTAATTTTGATGAAATCCAAATTATCTCTATGTTCTTTTGTTGTTTGTGTCTTTGTTGTCATCACCAATAAATCATTGTCAAACTCAAGATCATGAAGGTTTACCCCTGCGCTCTAAGAATTTTATAGCATTACCTCTTATATGTAGGTTTTTGATCCATTTTGAGATAATGTTTGTATATGGTATGAGGTAGGGGTTCAAAATTATTCTTTTACATATGGATACCCAGTTGTCTTAGTACCATTTGTAGAAAAGACTGCCATCATATCATCATGTCATATCATTTTATCTGTGGAATGTTTCTCTAAAAGATAAGAACTGTTTTTACATAAGCATAGTACCATTATCACACTTAAAAATTATTGACCACATTTCTTTAGTATCATCAAATTTCTAATTAATAATTATCTCAAAAATTTTAACAACTGCTCTGGTTGATGTGGCTGAGTTGGTTAGGCACCATCCAGCAAGCTGAAAAGTCATGGGTTCAATTCCCAGTCAGGGCACATGCCTGGGTTGTAGGTTTGGTCCCCAGTCGGAGCACATGCAAGAGGCAACTGATTGATGTTTCTCTCTCACAATGATGTTTCTCTCTCACAATGATGTTTCTCTCCTTCTCTTTCTCCCTCTCTTCTCCTTTCTCTAGAATCAATAAAAAAAATTGTGAAAAAAATATTAACAAGTTTTTGCCCTGGCCCGATAGCTCAGCTGGTTAGAACGTCATCCCAGTACTCCAAGGCTGTGGGTACAATTCCTAGTCCATGCACATACAAGAATCAACCAATGAATGCATAAATAAGTGGAACAACAAATCAATGTCTCTCTCTTCTCTCTCAATCTATCTAAAAATTTATTAAAAATTAACAACTGTTTTAAAAATTTACTATCTAGGTAAGTTATATCCATTGTGACTTGTTAGTATATCTTTTAAAATGTTTTTAAATTCATAGATTTCCCCATCATCTCTTTTTTTCCTTCCTGTAATTTTTGCGTTGAAGTAAATGGGTCATTTTCCCTGCAGAATTTATTATTCTAGGTTTTGTTGACTGTATCCCCATGATATGGCATGTTTATCAGTCTTCTGACTTTTCTGTAAATTGGTAGTTGAAGCTAGAAACTTCATCACATTTCAGGTTTGGGAAATTTTTGTTTTGTTTTGGTTTGGTTTTGGTAAGACTACACCTTAGGTGATGTGTTATTCTAATCAAAAGGCAAATCAGAGCTGGTTATTTCTTATTTTTTAAATGTTAGCAGTAATTTATGATCAGCTCATAAATCTATTAGTTTATTAGAGGTTGTGAAACAGTGATATTCTAATTCTATTATGTCTTCTTCATTTATTAGATGGAATGTTGCTTTTGATGAAGAGAAGCTTTATTTTTTTAATTATTTAATTATCCAGTGACAAAGGTTGTGCTAGAAAGGCAGTGCAAATTCTTAATCCCCCCTTTATTTACCAGTTCTCAAAAAGAGAAGTTGAGTCTTTGTTTTCCTCAAACAGTGCCCGTTATGTTCTTTTTGAGGGGTGTCTTGATTAACACCTTCAGTTAAGCATATTTAATGTGTTTTACTATATTGAAGTTATTATTCTTATTGATGCTCAAATTATCCCATCTTTGACCAGTGAGAACTGCTTCAAATTGATTTCTGAGTTCTTTCTAAAATGACTTTACAGTCTTTTAAGAGCTTCCTGGCTATCTTATATGATAACTTTACAATTCATATTTGGTTAAAATGTGATCTATTGTGGCACTTCTCAAATTTCCTTACAGAAGCTTTCAATAGGTCCTTTAACTCCCACTGCTGCTCTGAAGAACATGAGAGGGTTCCCCTACCCTGTGTGGAATCAGAAGATGACAAGTTAGAACAGGCACTGGAAATTCATTTATAAAACTAATTTCATGAATTTTGGTTGAGTTCCAACTAGGCATACATTTAAAAAAACACATCATTTTAACCTGAAGATTTTGCAGCCTGGTGGTTATCTTTTAGGACCTGGTAACATGTTGTTGATGTTAAGAATGTACATTTGGACAATGCCAAAATCATCAGTGTGATTTCACTGTGGCCCCATATTAGTTCTATTTCTAGTGTCAGGCCAAAGATTGATTGGTAGTTATTCTGATTTGTTGTTATGTATTTACAAAAAGACATAAGTACACAGTAAGGTGACTTATATTGAAGGTTTTCCGAAGAAGAGGGAGAAAGTATGGAAATGGACGTGTGTCTCTAAGCCAAGAAAATGAATGTAAAAGCAGATAAATTGCTTTTCTCTTCTAGTCTCTACTTCTCCATTAGGTAAGGGAAGTGTTTACTTTCTGCCTATTTTATAAAGCTGCTGAGTACTGTAATGAGTTCATATTTATAGGGAAGTTGGAGCTTTTTGGATGAAAGGTGCTAAATTAGAGCTTATTGTTTATTGAATTTATTTGATGTGTCCAACCTCCTGGGAACATTTGCTGAATTTAATTAAAAGCAGTCCTTACTCTGACGGCTTACAAAGCCACGTACGAACCAACAACATGAGCAGTGTGCACTTCTACTGTCCTAGCCTGGGACTGCCTCGACTGCCCTAGCTCTTTCAGGCAGGGCAATGACTCTGCTTTTGTAGGAAGGGTGAGTTCAACTGCTGGATAAAAGCAGATATTCTCACCTACATCTGAACCTCTTGGTTACCCTTGTTTTATAAAATACATAGTCTATAGAGATTTTTCCTCAATCTCCAACTATAATATTCAAGTTCTAAAGTTAAAAAATAACCTTTCCTTTTATTATTTTAGAAAGAAATGAAGATTAAAGCTTATGTTTCATATGTTGTCTTACGATCACTTGTTCTTTGCAAGAATGACATTACAACGCGCTGGAGCACATTATGCTTTCTTAACCCAGTGGAAGCTGAGAAGTGTAATTATAATAATGGTGTGTTTGCTTCCTTTGCCAGTTGGTGATGGAGTTTTGTGGAGCCGGCTCTGTCACTGACCTGATCAAGAACACGAAAGGTAACACGTTGAAGGAGGAGTGGATTGCGTACATCTGCAGGGAGATCTTACGAGTAAGTAACAATGCAGGACATTTTGGGAGGTGTTGAACTTTGTACTAACCTTCCACTGACATTCCTAAGCGTACTGGGATCCTCTTTAAAGCTGTATTCCGGCAGCGATAACGGCAGTGGTAGTTTGCTGTGGTCTGCTCTGATGGAAGTGAGTGCCGTGCTGAATAGGCCCTGTGCACTCTCGTTAGAGTTAACATCGGGTGATTTCTTTGAACAAGGGATTCATTTCCAGTGGTGTTTCCAATTGGAAGTCTGATTTTAGATCATAAACATGTTGTCCCACTTAGGAAACGGGTTGTTTTAGAGATATTTTGATCACTCTTTTGAGTTTTCCATTTGCGAAAGTTTATAACTCACTTAAGGATTGTGTGACTGTAACCATTTCAGTATATAAAATGTAGTTTATCTGATCGTACCTTTAAAAAAAATTCTTTGAGAGTCAATCACTTAAATTAATCAAAATAACTGGATAAGACTGTGCCTATTTGCCCAGTTTTGCCCACAGATCCCGCAGCCAGGCAATCTGGGCGATACTGTCATGGTCGCCAAGCTCAGTTCAGAGAGAAGGCAGTTGGTCAGGTTTATTTCATTCAGACTCGTTTAATTCTCTCTTGCCACTAACCTGGAGGCTATTACATGTCCACTGAGCATTCTTACTAGATCGTCTTGCCAATCATTATATATTTTTAACCTCTACCTTCTTCATTTAAAGAAACAAAAGTTAAAACTGTTTTTACAATGTGTCCAAGACATTCCTTTGAGAGATAGAGTAAGCAAAAAAATACAAAATGTTATTTTAAAATGATAACATTGATAATAGCATAAAAATCAAATACTTAGAAATAAGTTTACAGAAAGATGTAAACAACTTCACCAAAAACTTCAAAATATTACTGAGAAAAATTAAAGAAGACCTTAATAAATGGAGGTGTATACCAGTTCACAGATTAGAATGTTCAATACCGTAAAGATGTTACTTCTCCCCAACTTGATCCATGGTTTCCTTGAACTCCCTGTGAAAATTGTTTTAGGTATATCTGTCGATATTGACAAGCTGATTTTTAAAACATTATATGGAAATGCAGAAAGCTAAAAACAATCAGGGCAATCTTGAGAACAAAGTTGAAAGATGTATGCTGCTAGTTATCAGGACTTATTATAAAAGCTACTAAGTAATTAGAACAGAGCAGTAAAGTCACAAGACTAGACAAATGGCCAAGGAAATCGAGAGCCCGGGAACAGACCCGCTTTCTCGGGACACCTGATTTATGACAAAGGAACCGCTGCAGTGCCCGGGGAAAGGGTGCTCTTCTCAGTAAACAAGGTCAATTGAATATCCATGTGAAAGCATGAAGCTTGACACCTGCTTATTACATATTCAAAAATTAATTCCAGCTGGATTATAGACATAAAGATGAAAAAATAAAGCTCTTAAGAGAAGCATAGCGTAATACCTCCATGGTTTTGAAGTAGGAAAAATATTTCTCAAACAGAACACAAAACAAAATTTGAGGGGGAAGCAAGAAAGTACAGCTGCTAATCTCCCGCAAATCTGACATTTATGTCAAGTATCAATATGCCATTGTGTGAACTTAATTTGAATTTCTGACTTAAAATTTTAGTCATTCTGAGAAAGTATGATGACTTTTTTAGTCATCCAGACCACTCTGTGGATACCAAGAATCTATTGGGTCTTCAGGGCTGGTTCTGTGTAATATGCCTTTCTGCGCTGTTGGGTAACCTTGCAGGGGACTGATCCTATGACTTTCAGGGTTCTAAAAGCAGCAGGGAGGTTTCCTTCCAGTGAGTATCTCTCAATACCTAGTTTTAAAATATTTGAAAACAACTGTTTTCTTCCTTCTTCCAATGCAGTCATTCTCTCAACCTACTGGCATTTGAGATAAGGTGGCTCATTGTCAGAGACATTTGATGACAAGAAGTTTCAGAGGTGACCCTCCATGCATCATACGATCTCATTAAGTACAACCTTTGTCTCACTTATGTGCTCTTGTGTCTGCTTCCATCCACTTTGGTGATGAGGAGGGAATGGGATTTTCAGCTCCTCTCTTAAGGATTCATAGGATGTTAATATGTTATAAAAACCATACATTTTAATCTGCTTGATGCCTACCCTGAGCCACACTGACTAGATAAGAGAGAGAATTTTTAAAGGCCCAAACCACTGCCTCAACAGTTCTGTCACATGGTTTGTATTTACTGATATGCCTAAACATATACGTGGATCTTTCTGGGCATCCATATTCTCATGCTGAATTTTTTCAACAAGAGAATTTAGGTATTTCGTTTTGTTTCTTTTCATGTCAACCTCATCTTTCATACCATGGTATTATTGTTGTGTAAAAAATTATTGGGTTAGCCAAAAAATCCGTTTAGTTTTCTCCGTAAAATAAAAGACACATTTTTCATTTTCATCAGTAACTTTAAGGATTCGGATATTTTGAGTATGTCTGCTCTCTCCAGCGTGGTATAATATTGATTGTTCTCAGTTTAATGCCTTGATTTGATCACTATGAACTTCAACTGGTCTACCTGATGGTGGAGTATCGTCTAGCAGGAAATCTCCAGCATGAAACTTTGCAAACCAATTTGACGGGTTTGGTCACTCACAGCACCTTCCCCATACACTGCACAAATATTTTCTTGTGTTTCAGTTGCATTTTTACATTTCTTGAATTAATAAAGCATACTATCCCAAAAATGTTGCGTATTTTCTTCCATCTTCAATATTAAAATGGCTAGACAAAATTTCACCAATTTTGATAAGTTGTTTTTAATGCATGCTGATATGACAGCTGTCACAATACAATCTAACAAAATTGTTTTGAAGGAAGTTAAAGACACCTAAGTGCTACTAGAACCATCTAATGGAAAACACCAAACTTTTTGGGAAGTCCAATAAAAGTACAGAAAATCATAAATAATAAAATAACAATACTTAAGTATTAAATTCTACCTTGAATTAGCAGTTGTTAGCATAATGTAATTAGCTTTGATATTCTAATTTTAGATTCTTTTAGGTTACATTTTTATCTGAAAAAAATATTTGACTACTGTAGCACAAGTCTGTAGATTAGAATTTACATCATGAAAACAAGCCAAAATCAGAATAATTCATGGAGAAATGGAACACAGTGTCTTGAATGTTGCTGAATAATTATTTCATAAAATGAACACAAAGTCACAAGTGTCATAAAACACTAAAAATGACAGTGTTGAATGCCAACAAAGGAAATAGAAATTGTTGCCTTGTTTTTTGTAATGTGAGCCACATTGGCTAAAGCCAATGCAAAATTTCATGGCTGTAATGAACAATAGTTTATTGTGCTTAATTAAATTTGTATAATAGGAGGTAGGATTTAAATTCAAATATTGCCCCCAAAATTGGAGGATTCCATTGAATATGGTTAGTTTTCTGTTCATAGTCTCTGTAGATGTTCCTGTTACAAACTAGCAGAGACAGGCAGTCCTCACTTTTCACAGTACTGTTAGCACAGCTCGGGCATGCTGAACCGTATCATCTCCCCTGTACTTCCTGAGATCAGAGCAGGTATGAATGCATTTCATTTAGCACAGCGTCATGCATTGCAAGGGCTGCCTCCGTATTTCAGTTTATATTGATCAATTGCCTATGGCTTAGAACATGAAAGATGTGACTATAATAATGAAAGTATTTCTGGATGGGTCTCCATCCTTTTTTTGGATCATTAACACCTGAAATAGTTTATTTGCATCTTGGCCTATGTTCCTATTAACCCTTTTCAACTCTCCCTCACTCCAGGGGCTAAGTCACCTGCACCAGCATAAAGTGATTCATCGAGATATTAAAGGGCAAAATGTCTTGCTGACTGAAAATGCAGAAGTTAAACTAGGTAAGAACAGAATTCAGTGAGCCTGGAAATTGAAGGAATTGATAAGGTTATTACAACAACTGTTTTGGGGGTTTTTTTGTAATGAATGTAAATTCAGCACTGTGGATTTGGAAGTCATTGTACTATGAATGGAAAGGGAAATTTTTCTTTGTCTATTTCAAAAACACGTTTTTTTTCTTTTTATTGATTTGAGAGAGAGAGGGAAAGGGAGGGAGAAAGAGAAGGAGAGAAAACTTGATGTGAGAGAGAAACATCAGTCTGTTGCCTCTCGCATGTGCTCCTTCTGGGGACCAAACCTGCAACCCAGACATGGGCCCTGACCAGGAATCGAACAAGTGACCTTTGGGTTTGCAGAACAACACCCAGTCAACTGAGTCACAGCAGCCAGCGCTCAAAAACATTTTCTAAAAAGCACTTTGAGGAGTGAGTTGATATGCAATATGCCAAACACAGAACCGTGTGCTTAATCAATGTGTAGAAATAATTGAAGTTTTCTTTTTTTTTAAGCGAAGACTCGTTAGATTAGAAGTGGCTGACCTTGAAATGTTTTCTTATATCTTACTGTTTGTTTACATTATTGCTATACCAGAACAATGGTGACCCGTTTTTTATTAAAAATATCCAGTTAGACATATTTAGAATAATGAATTACAGCTCCGTTCCCATGTGTTTTAAGTTAAATTTACATTGATTTTATTATTACCTAGGGCGCCTGTGAAAAATGGATGCCCAGTAGTCTACTTTACATGCATCCTGATTAACCCACTTTCATCTGCCAGAGTTGTCAGTGAGGGAATCCTTTTCTCTGGTGCTGTCCATTAGAGCCCTTCCCGCAATGAATCTGAGATTGTCCAGATGTGGTAGAGAACCTCAGCATGCACTTGTCTGCCTGATGTATATGAAGAAGAGCATAAATGGACAAATCCTCTTAGGATATACAATTTGTCTCCCAGAAGAGAATCACCTTTAGTGTGGCTGTTTACTTTCAGAGATTTAAATATATCTTATGTTTATATTTCAAACATTGGTTCTTACATTTTCTTATTAAAGTATATAATTTTTTTAACTTAGCATTTAAGGCCAAACTTTCATCTCACGAATATTCCTTGTTTAACAAAAAAAGCTTGCATTATATAACAAAAGCAGTTATATGTATAGTGACTAGAAAAGCTATTCTCAGAATATTTACCCATCACTAGTTATCAGTTATTGTTGAGAGAATATTATACACCAGGCCCCATATAAGTCACCTTTACAAATATTATCTCACATAAACATCATACCAACCCTACGTAGACATCATCATCTTCATTTAATAGATCAGGAAACAGAAGTTCAGAGAGGTTGATATCCTCGCCCTAGGTCACATCACTAGGAAGAAGTGGCAGAAATGGGATGCAAACTTAGTCTGACCCCAGAGACTTAGTTCTTAATCACTTTCTTTGAATCCCTTAAATATTACCCTTTAAAGTGACAATCACGCTTGCTTTTTATTTAATAGCTATTTTTGGTCCCCATGGAGCCTTGGTATAACCAAATATAACAACTTTATGATTCCTCCTTGGCACACTTTATTCATTTACACATGCAATTTAAAAATATTCATTCACAATAGTAAAAAAGAGGAAGCCACCAAGTGTCCATCAACAGGTGAATGGATAAATAAAATGGGGCACTTATGTACAATGGGATATTATTCATCTTTAAAAAGCGAAGGAACGTCTGAGCTATGCTGCAACATGAATTAATCCTGAAAACATTATGCTAAGTGAAGTTAGCCAGTCACAAAAAAGACAACTACTGTATGATTCCACTTATATGATGTACCCATAGTAGTCAGATTCATAAAGACAGACAGCAGAATGGTACTTGCCAGGGGTTGGGAAAAAGGGGTAGTTATTGTTTGATGGGTATAGAGATTCATTTGGGGAAGATGAAGAAGTTCTGGAATTGAGTGGTGGTGATGGTTCACAACCATGTGAATGTCTTAATGCTACAGAACTTGAAAATGGTTAAAATGCTAAATTTTATGTTATGTATATTTTAACAAAAACTACACATTCATCTTACCATCATATAAAAACCATTGACTTCGTACATTTGCCTTCTCTTCACTAGTGGACTTTGGAGTCAGTGCCCAGCTTGACCGAACAGTGGGCAGGAGGAATACTTTCATCGGCACTCCCTACTGGATGGCGCCGGAAGTTATTGCCTGTGATGAAAACCCAGATGCGACATATGATTTCAAGGTATAACTTGTTACTTCTTCATTATGTTTCAAATCTATGTGCAAAATATCACCCTGAATCTTTCAGAGAATCCACTCATGGCTTTGGGTTTACTATTTATATAATCCAAAGGAAGAACTAAAAAGCAATATTTGAATTTAAAATGATTAGACATTCTAGTGAGAATCTTTTTAATGAAGTCGTCCATCATATCTGATTGCTTATTTGTAAAAAAGTTTAAACCATTTTCTATGTTCTTTTCGATTTACTCTCACTTCTAATTAGGAAACAGATTTCTGTGTTGCTTATAGTTTAGATGTTTTTCAAAGTACATAATCTGATAACTTTTTATGTTAAAAAAACAAGATAGGAATTTTTTGTCTTGGGTCATCTTTTTCTGATTAACAATAATCAGACTTACTCATTTCTACATTGCTTAAAGTTCAATTATTGGAGTTTCTGTTTAATAAGAACCAAATGAGATGTTGGAACCAAATGGGATGTTGGTAGCTACTTTATGGTGTTTCTGTTGCCTATTGTGGTGTTTCATAGAAATTTTATTTATGGTTTATAACTGTGTTACTATAAATTAGTAATTTGTTAATAAATCCCAAGTACTGCTTAAGTAGAGAGGTGACAGTTGTTCCTTTCTCCAAGAAAACACTTCTCTTTTTCATTCTGCTAACCAATAATTTGGGGTTACTGTCCCATCAATAGCTGCAATGTCAGGTGACATTGTTGTCATGAATTGTGGCTGAAAGTCAAGACATTAAAATCAGGGGCAGCTGGGGCATAGGCATTGTGGGTTTTTAGACTGTCCAGTAGATGGAGCGACACCGCGTGGTCTTTGTGCAGCTCCCAGGACCACCTTGGGCAAAACCTGATGCTACCCAGGCTGGTTTCGTGTGCGTGGACTTTTTCCTAAAGGGCTTCAGTGATCATCTCAAAATGGCCTCATCTTCCAGATGAGGAAACTGAGGCAGTTCTGAGGCATTTGCAAGTGTACACCCAGTTAGTGATCTTCTCAGAGTTGAAACTTGAACCCAGATCTCCCAACTCTCTGTTCAGAGCTCTTCCCAATATACAGGATGGGGCAAAAGCAGGTTTACAGTTGTTTGTATGGAAAATAATACAATAATTAATAAATAATAGTACAAGAATAAACTCTGTGTTTCATGTTCTCACAACTGTATACCTACTTTGTCTCACCCTGTACTACCCTGAACCTCTAAGATGTTCTATGTAAATCTTCAATTTACCAACAAAACAGCCTCTGTAGAGTATATTTGAAGAATTTCTGTTTTAAAGAACATTTTTAGTTCTCCATATGTGGGGTTATTATTGAAATCAGGTCAGAAAGATGCAAACATTGCAGTGTTTTTAGGACCCAGTGTCCCCGCGCATTGACAAAATTATTGGCCTCTTTGGAGAAATGCAAGCTTGAAGGTCTGAAAACAAAATGATCTATAAATTCCTCTTGTTTCCAAGGTTAGTCACTGTCATAACCTGACAATAATCTGTCTGGAAACAGTTGCCAAGTTAAAAATTAACCTCTTGCCAAAATAAATGTCATTTATTTAAACTGCTAATGATAAGCACTTTTAAATAATTTAATTTGCGAATCCCTTCAGAGGAGTCTCTACAAAATATATGTCTCAGACCAGACATGTGTATCATAATTGGCTGTAAGCATTTCTTTAAACTATGGTCATACTTAATAAGTATTAAGTGGTCTACATCTGGCCACAGATATTTTAGACTAGTTTATAACACACCATGGAGAATCAGAGTGTTGCAGACTTCAACCCTTAGCTTAGCCTTTCAGCTGGGTGTGTTATAACTAGCTACAGTGTATTTGGACTTTTGTTCTGTGACATAAAATAAATCTCTGTTGTTTCATTGTTTTCAGTAGAGTAAGTAGAATAGAACTTTCTTCTGGCCAAGTTAAAGCTTGGAATTAAACCTGTGTCTTGGTCCTCTTTCCTCAGAGTATGCTAGGGAATGTAGTTTGTGCTCAGTGAAAAACTTCAAGCCCAGTGTAGTAATTCTCATTGTGGACAAAGCCTGGTGTATGAGTGACAACAGGGTGAATCATGTTGAACAAGGTGGTATCAGAGGTCCTAGGAACTTCATGTGACTATAAAAGGAGGCTGAGACATGAAAGAATCGAAGGTTCATTCTGTATCTTTTATTTAAAAAATGAGGAATCCTGATGAGAGTAAAGATTCAACTGTATCAGTCATTTCGACCTTAGTGTGAATTAGTTTGTAAGGATTGTCCTGAGCCTAGTGTGTACAGAGGAGGAAGTCACGGCAAGAAAATGAGCTTCAGTGGTCACTTGTCATCGATCAGAGAGGGAACTTGACAAAAGGGTGAAAATAAGGAAGAACGGGCAGAAAGGGAGGTTTGGGGGTTCTTGGAAGATTTGTTTCAACCATGTCACAGTTTTATCCTGAACCAGAGAAGAAAGTTATGCTTTGAATAATTTTTCTACTTTTTTCTTGATACCAGATCTTATCCCTTCTTCTGTTCACTATTCTTAGGAATATAGTTTGTCACCAGGAGACAACTTGCCAGTACTTCGACTTTCAAAGCCATTTATTCATTTGCTCAGTGCATATTTATTGAATATCCACTATGCGTAAGGAATTAGTCAGGTTGTACCTGTGTGTGCAGCTCTTGACCATAAAGTTCATATGGCAGCCCCATCAAAGTTCAAAGGTTTGGTACCACGTGCTTGGTAGCCCGTTTGACCAAGCCAGGTACCCCAGCCTCAGAACTTGATGTCATCCCTTTGGGCTTCCTTGGGCCACAGATACTGTCAGCCTAGAGGGCATGTTTCAAATAAAAGATGACTTGAAAGCCATTGGACTTTGTGAGAGTCCCTACCACAAAAGCCCTTCGTTTAAAAACGAAGACAGAATGCAAAGGAGAAGAGTGTAGTTTGCTTTTATTTGACTTGTTTTTTGATTTATTATTTATTGATTATTATAAATTCTTTGAGTTGCCTAAGATGTCTTTAAAAACTGCTATAAATTTTTTCTAAAAACAGCAGTACTTCAGTAAAACAAGGGCCTCTGTGGAAAAATAGTCTGAAGAGCTCCTGCTTTTTATCGCAATCTGGGTTTGTCTGGTATCTACCCGGCGCAGGAAGTACTGCCTGAAAATAACCCCTCTCCTAAGGAGGAGCGCCAGAAGCTCGTTTGCCTGGTGTGCTCACTTTCCCCCAGAGGCCCTTCCTTTCTTGTTTTCAGAAATTCTGTCAAAACACTTCAAGCAAAAGGAAAGGTTTCATTTTCCTGATAAGTATGTGGGGCAATAATGAAAGCTTTCTCATTTAATAATAAGCATTCAAGAAATTTGAAATTAATAAAACTGTTCAAGGTTTCTAGGCTGTTTAAATTGTTATTTTTTTTATTTGAATTTCATTTCAGTTGGATGGGATTTGTCAAGTATTTTATAACCCGATATACTTACTGCTTTAACACACCACTTACCAAAGAAATTTCTCTGCAGCCAAAAGCCCATCAACAGGGAACGGGTTGAATAAAAACTAATGCATCTGTCCAGTGGAATATGATGTAGCCATTTAAGTAAACAGCAAGGTAGCATCCATATTGAAGTTGGGCAGATCCCAAGATAGTGTTAGGTGCAAAGAGCAACTCACAATATAGTACACATAGGGTAGTCTTTTTCCCTCCCATCCCATGGATGTAGGACATGTGGGTGGAGAACTTAAAATGTTTATTTTATATATCTTTCTGTCTGTTCTGCCCCCCAAAACTGGCTTTGCTTTTATATTAAGTTAGTAAAGTACAGTGTAGAGTGAAATGGCACATCCCCTCAGCCTCCATCCCCCACCCCATCTTCTGGCCCAGACTGCACTAATGTTGCCTGCTATTCACCTACACTCCGTTCATGAGGCTTAGCACACGGGTGCTACGCATTGCTCGCAGACATGCATTTCTCCTCCAGGGCTTGGGGGATATTGTGCACTGCCTGTAGAGCAGGTACTCATTCTCTGTGTTACAGATAATTGGCTTTATTCAGGCAGGATGAAAAGAGCTACTCTAGGTAAGAGGCTTAGCTGGAGAGGAAGAGAGTAACCTGCCTAGGCGGGGAGTCACCTAGATGCACGCAGGGTGTCACACGAGGAGACAATATTCCGATTGCAGAACGCGAGCTTTGCTCTTAAACAAGGCCTGGCCTCTGTCCACTGAGATTCAAACAAAGGTCCTATCCCTATTCAGAAGGAGGGTCGGATGATACCAACACCATGTTGTTATCACCAGTGGGAAGCAGAAACGGCTATTAAACATATTTCTTCTTGCTCCACGCTCACACCTGCTTGTCTAAGATTCCTTAGTCAGACACACCAGCACCTCCTGCAGGCTACAGGCTGACTCCCCAGTGAAAAGAACAAGCTATTCTTCCAGCATTTTCCCTTCAGTCAGATAACAAGTGTAGATGAAAAAGGGACTGGAGATTATCACCCTCAGTTTGTGTTATTCATGAAATGGGGTGACTAATAACCACCTGTGCTTGAACATCCTGGTGACCCTGAACTCACCACCTTGATTCTGTTTATATATAATGAAGTAAGTAAGTGTATGACATAGTAAATAAGAGTCAGGCTTTTGCAGTTGGAGAGGACTGTTTACAATATTGACCTGTTCACAATATTACCTCAGGGAAGTTATTTAACCTTTCTGAATCTATAAGATGGGAATAATAAATCGTATATTATTAAGGCTATGTTAGATTAAAGTGAGCTAGCACATAAAACAGTTCAGTGTCTAACATATGTAAGTACTTGGATATACGATAGTTAATACTTGTGTGTATGTAATATGTAGGCACTGCTACTTGGGGCCATTTTTTGCCCTCAAAAAACCATCAGTATAATGTGATTCCAACCTCATCCTTGTCTCAAACACCTCTAATTGTCTGCTTATGTTAAGCCAGAATCCGCTTCTCTGTAATTCCTATCTCTAGTTTAAAGTACTGCCCTTCAGCACCAC